GGCGGGGGCTCTGGGCAGCCCGTCCGCTGGAGCGGGAGTGGGCGAGAGAAGTGCAGGAACCCAAGAGGAGGAGGAGAAACGGTGCCCTCCGCTTATCATAAAATCACAGAATAGTTTGGATTGGAAGGGACTTTAAAGCTCATCCAGTCCAACCCCCCTGCCATGGGCAGGGACACCTCCCACTAGACCAGGTTGCTCAAAGCCCCATCCAACCAGAAAATAAAAGATATTTTTGAAGCAACCAGGGTATGGATTTCCTGAGGGAGAGTTAGAGAAAAGCAGCATTTTGGAGGTGAAAATGAAATCTCTTCTCAGCATCAGCCACTGTTTTCTGTTCTGAGGTACACTTGCCATTAAAGATGCCCAGAAGTAGACTGAAGTCCAGATGTGAAGCAAAGTTCGTAGGGAGAGATAATACACTTGATTTGTCAGACTACTAGGAGCTGTGAGTAGTTAAACAGAAAAAGGCTTGAAGAGCTGCCAGATTGCATCATGAATTGCAAAAGGTTACTTGGCTTAACTAGACTTGAGAGGTAGTTGGGAGGACTTTGACATAGGGCTCCATTTTCAAAGCTGAATGTAGTTTTTAGTGTAATAAAGTTAAAAATAACCAGAATATAGACCTTTCATTTGTTGCAGGTGGTACATAAGTGCAAGTGGGGGTATGGACATGTGCATATATTGTCCCAATTTAAAACCCATGTGGCAGTTCCAACAAGCACAAGTGTAACATGGCCCTTTATGAATAATCAGCATGCCCTGTCTCTGTATATTGATGTCAGCTTCTTAGTGACACCCCGCACACCTAAAAACTGGACTTTGCAAAGTGCTCAGCACAGTTTTCTCTCTGTTGAAAGCTTTCAGCTTCTCCTTTTGCCTTTGACAGCTTCTGCTGGCTTCTAGAAGGAGTGGCAAGTACCTTTTCCTTTCCTCTGAGGAAGCTTCAGTCATTCTACTCCTTTGCAGAAATACTATTTATATACTTTATTACAGGAAGTTGTTAGATCCTGATATACGTATTGAAAGGCATATGTATTTCTGCCTCATATATGCATGTATAGTGGGAAAAGACACTGGCATCCATAAGCGCAGACCTTGACAAAATATACTAAAGAAGTGACACAGAGGCTTTGCTCCCCCACCACCACCATATGTTACAACTCCAAAGGGCTTTATGGACTGCTTAATATTTTACACAAAGTGATGTGTGAACTGAAAGTTAGGTATGTAAGATAAGTTAATCATCAAGAGACAGTTATTGGTCTTGATTCTACGAAAGCTTGCCTGTGTGGTATGATATGATTTTAATTCGCAAATGCTTGTGTCTTTTTCTTCCTGTTAATCCTTTTCCCATTCAGTGTGATGCATGGAGTGAACCCAGACAGTGAAAGAGCAATTCAGAAGGTAGCCTTCTCTCTGTTGTTCAGTGTGTGCTCTCCATACCTCTGTACCTGCTGCCTTACACAGTGACTGGGGCAGCATCCAGCAGTTCTGGCATGGGAAGAGAAATTAGGGAAGATATTTATTTATTTATTTATTTAGGTAGAAACTTTTTGTGTTTTGTTGCTCTTGTGATTGTTTGTTAATGTTTTAAGCTGTAGGTGTTTGATGTCCGTTAATTTGGTGTTTGTTTTCCAGTATGTCCTATCTGTCCTGAAATTTACCTACCCTACCCTTTTTCAAGGGTAAGTACCATTTTAAGAATACAGTTGTTTGAAAAATTACTTTAATCAGTAAACGTTCCATGCTGAAACTAACTTCAGTACCTCTTGTCATCGCTGGCTTTTGCTGTCTAGTGAACATACTTCATGAAGCCTTAGTAAAGCATTCATTTATGTGTCTTGGTTAATTTTTAAACATTGTAGTGGTGATGTAATTAAAATCTATAGACTCCATCATTTCTCATTTTTTCTGAAAGTCCTGCACTTCATCATAGAAAAATAGCAATTGTAGTACAGCCTGTCTTCTTTGGAAATGGCACTCATGGATAATGTGCAGTTGTGGTGTGTTCTTTCGCTGTGCTAATGAAAACCAACCTGAAACCAATCTTTAGGCGTAATGAAATGCCATATTGCTTATTTTCATGTTTAGCCTTTGTTGTAACTCTGCATCACAAGTCACTATCATATCTTAATTATTTTAACGAGAAATTTAATGTTTTGTCAAGTGTCCATATATACCATCAGTGCTGTTAATAATCTGTGAGACATTTAGTGCAAATCAGGCCTCTCAGAGTTGAGATTTCCTCCATTTGTTTTTCTGAGATAACGGTAGTATCTGCAGACACTGGATAACTTTGCTTTTTTTACTGCTGCTTAGCATAGCTTGTATTTTTTGCCTGACTTGCAGCCTCGGGGCTGCAATCAACTCTAGGAATAATTGCCTTGGGAATCTCCATTTTCTTTTAGTGTACTCAGCTCTATTAAATATGCAACAAATGCTTTCTCCAGTTTTGACACAAACACACACACTGTCTCTTGGACAAGGCTTTTATCATATAGGGAAACAGTTTTGAGTAATGTATGTAAAATACAAGCATGGTGAATCAACAGTAAAAAAGCGTATTTCAGTGGCAAGCAACTGCCTTATGGTATCTGTGTTACCACAGTTATTTCCTTTTTCTATTATTTGGAAATGCATCTCAGCATGTTAATATTTTTCCCTAAATTCTGGCTTTTAAAAGTGACCTTTCCTTGGAAATTACTGAGTGGCTCAAATGTGCTTTAATTTGGAGCTATGACAGTTGAGCAAAGGAGGAAAATAATTATTCTCAGTTCATGCTGTTATTGTTTGTTGTCATTGGTTTTGTTCCCTGTGTAATCTAAGACTAAATTGCATAGGTCCAAACGTCTGAAACTGTTACTAAATTCTGTCCTTAAAACCTGAAACAAGAAGAAATTCCTCGCAATAAAGTTGATGGGAATTCATCACTGGCTTGAAATAGAGCACGGTCAAGCCTGCAGCAAACATCAGGAATACCTGTTCTTCTCATCTGAAAAAGGTGCAGTGAGCTGTGATAGTAGCATTGAATATTCATCATACCCCTGTGGACAATGCGCTCACTCTTCTCTGACGCTGTCCAGCTGTATGTAATACGGCATAGAGTGAATATTTGTTTATTTGTGTATGTGTGAGAGATTTTAAATAGTTGCTTAAATGCATTGCAATGAATGGGAATAATAAATAAAACCACTTCTATACCTGTTACAGTTGTTAACGTGTTCTAACGCTGTAATACAGTTATCTCTGAACTGTGCAGGATGTGCAAGAAACATGAAACAGCTCTCTGAAAACCACTAGCTTAAGAAGGAAGCTAATAACTTATTTTAAAGCTTAACAAAAAATCAGCATGCATCACTACTCATTTTAAGTTATCTGCAAGCACTTCTTAGGCCTCGCATACTATTTCCATAATAGACTAAGGAATGCCTTTTATGATATGGTAAGTCATTAGATAGATAAGTTAATGCAGAATGTATGTAATTGTTATATGCCTTTTCAATGAGAAAACCACAGTACTGTGGTTTACATGCAAGGTTATCTGGCTGTAAAGATGTTTTCTCTGGAGGCTGGGAATCAAGAGGCTGGTGCAGCATAATGATGTTGTTGTTGATGACATTTCGCTTGGTGCTTGCTGCACAAGATGTAGGAGTGGGCCGGGGAGCAGTCTGGGTTTGAGGGAGTTTGTAATGTAAGCACAGCATGAATAACCATGGGAAGTCATAGAGCTGATGTTTGAATCTACTAGAACTATACACGTCATCCTTGGAGCTTGTAACTTCAGCTGAAACGAGCCTTTGAATCCTGAATTCATGTTTATTTGTTCTAACAACAACAGTTTATGTATGCAAAGATATTAATCTCTTCTCACAAACCTTGCCTCACTTGCATCATCAGATCATTGTGGCTGTAACTACTATTATTATTCTAAACCTTGTGTGGGAAGAGATGATAAAATGGGAATTCAGTAACATGACCAAAGTAATTGTGTTAGATGGTAATTTACAAAACATTTGAAACAGCAGGCGAAAGCAGCAGAGTATTAGAAAATTTGGAGGAAATTAGGGTCCACAAAACCGAAAGATTCAAACAGGAATAGTGACATTCCTGGTAACCTACAGAAATGGTAGATAACTAGAGCCATGGATGTGCTGTGAGAAATTCTGTGGATTCTAGGGTCATGCTCAATGTGGTTAAAAAGGACAAACAATTCAGAGATGCTGTTTTGTTTCTTTTTCAGGTGGCAGACATTAGTGGGTGGACTTCTACTTCACATCTCCTGGAAGCTGGGCTGGGTGGAGATAAACTTGTGTTCAAGGTACTGTGGGTTTTTCAGTGTCTGCTAAATACTTATTTTTTTTGTATCTGGGTTATGAGATAGTTAAATTGGTTGTGGAAACTACCATCTTGCTAAAATACAAGTTGGTGTGTGTGTGTGTGTGTGTGTGTTCTGCCTCTCTGGTGTAGGAGAGATCTTGTATTTTCGTCTAATGAATGTTCAATGACACACACTTCAACTGATTACTAATATAAAGTTAATTAAATTTAACCTTGATAAGACAATCAAAGAAGCATAGCCATTAATGAAACTATATGGATAACTTATCTATGTCTGTCTACATCTCTTCCCTGGATTATTTTATAATACTGTAAGAGAAACCTTGTTAGTTAAGAACATTGATGCACCCTTCCCCAAAACCTCAGTGCAGTGAAGTCCACAAGTGTGATCTGCCTTTTTCTCTTAAGAGCTGTGTCCCATAAGTGGAAATCATTCACCCTTCCCTAACTTTAGCATTTATAATGGTACAGCAACAGCAGCCATTGCAGTATAGGACTGATATAATAATAAACCTCAATATTAAAAAGTGCTTTGTAGACGAAGATCATCTGCTTGAACTGAGTGTGACGGCAACTCAGAGGGGTCATCCAGCATTCTGTACACTGCTCAGGTGAATCCATTCTGCAGTATCCTTTTTATTTTGCAAAATAATTATAATTTAGAAGATGTCTGCCCACAGCAATTGTTGAATCTCCATTTCCGGAGATATCCAAAACTTTACTGGACAGTGACCTGAATAATGTGACTTGACTCTGAAGCTGGCAGGGTCTGGAATAGGTGACTGCCAGAGTTCTCTTCTAATGTAACTTTTTTCAGTGATTCTGTATTAGCAAGTTATAACTGTTGAATTTTCTGTTTGGAATTCAAGCAGTTGGCTTGCAAAACTGATTCTCCTCATTTGTAATGAAATCTGTGTATGTCAGAAGAACCAGGCTATGTTCTGTTTTCATGTCCGTGCGAGTGACTACACCACCACTGAAACTTAAGTGAAGCTGTAAATGGAAACAAAATTTCACTTCCTATCTTTTATCTGCAGTGTAGATAGAATGAGGATTTTGGTGTAAAAGCTGCTGGTGATGTCGGTAGAGGCAGGATTAGGGTACAAACCTATTTTACTTTAAATCATGAAATTAAAGAAGTTGAATCTTTTTTTCCAGCTTGGAAAATATATTTTCATTTTTTTCAAAACAGAAGGCATTAAAGAAAATACTAAACAAGAACCATTTTCTGCTGTTGAAGAGGATGTTTTTATCTAAGAAACGTTTTGATGAAAAATTAGTTCGTGTTTTGACGATGGAGACTTCACGCCACTAGATGCCAGCACACTATAGGAAAAGTGATTAAAATACATCTTGAGAAGCCTCTTCCTTAGTTTAGCTAGTACAGAATGCCTGTTCTGGAATAGACTGAATGAAATGGCCAGAAGTAATTGACATGTTCTGGCTATAACTCAGCCAACTATTTAAGCATGAGTTTAAACCTGGCTTTCTTCAGAAGAATTAGACACATGCTTTAATGCTTTGCTGAACTGGACTTGTAGCATGTATCTCCTGTATTAAAAAAAACAAACAACCCAAAACCAACAACCAACCAGCCAAAAAAACCTAAACAAAAAACCTACCCCCTAAAGAAACCAAGCAAACAAAAAACTCAACAAACAAACATTATGTCTCAAAACTTCTGTCTGCCACTTCCTCTCAAGCTCCTTTCCCCTCCAAAGGTGATTTCTCTTAGTACTACCACTTGGATAAGGACATTTCCACCCCTGTTACAGAACATTGGTCTCTGAATCTATCTAGTTTTGGGTTTTTTTGTGAATATGTAGGATAATTAAAAATACCATATTCAGTCCCCGGTCTTTTCATGCTTTGAATAATAAACTGCCACCCAATTGATTATTTTCACAAAGTCTCAGTATTGCTGTCATGTGAACTGATGTCGTATGCTTTCTGATTCAGTTCAGATTATCCCAGAGTCTCTCAGCAGAATTATTTTATTACACAGAGATCATCACACTTTGTCTAAAGTCCGGAATACTACCTTCACAATAAAGACCAAATAAAAACATATTACTTAGAGTAATTTCTCTTCGATTTTGTGGATCTCCTGCTTGTCATCTGCTTCCAGCCAGTACTCTCAGCTGTAAGGGACTCTGTCACCCTCTTTGTTGCTTCTAAATGGTGAACGGTGACTCTCTGCAAAACTCGAACCCAAAACAAGGGCTCTGTGGGGCGCAGAGGAATATGTGTAGCATTTGCAAAAATGCTTCCAGCACTGAGACCTACTGACCCTTGTAGGCATGTAAATCCTATGTGTTCTGGTTGGCATTTCTTGTAGTGCTGAATTTTCCCCACAGCTAAGCAGCAGCTCAGAGCCTTGCTTAAACCAGAACTCCAAAGTGTGGTTTAGGGGAAGCTACCCATTGACTTTAGTGGGATTTGGATCTAGGCCTACAACCACAAGCACATCAGCTCTTTTATATTACTGAGCTTTCCTGTTTTGCATTTACGTCACTCTGTTGCCAACATAAGAAGCTACTAATTTGTTTATATACAAGACAGATTGTTGGTGCTGACACATTACATCAGACATCCATGCATTCTTTTTCAGTCCAGAAATTCCCACTTGGCAGCATAAAATTCTACCCTTACATCATGGAAAAAGCATCTGAAGTCCTTTTCCATTGCACTTCGCAGTATTGCGTTGGAGATGGAGATCTACTTGGAATTCCTAGAATTTAGTGGTGGGGAACATCAAAGAGCGTTGTGTTCTGAACGAAAATTCAATTTTTATCATGTGTTCCTTTCATCTTCCCAGCCCTCCTTTCTTTTCTTCCCTTCCCCTTTATTTCCGTTTGTTGCAGTTCCAATAGGGTGGAGATATTTTTGTTGGTATCTGATGTGAACTCATTGGTAATGAGGTATGGCAGTTTTAGATCCTGGTCTTGGTGAAATTCCAGTTGAAGTCAATAACCTTAAAAGGAAGAGTGTTTTTGTTAAAAAATGATGGTGATTACCCCAAAACCAGAGCAAATATTTATGCCAGTAAAAGGGTCTAAAGATTACTCTATTTTCATTATCCTGGGGTTTTGATCAAGTATCTTAGAAAATTACATGTGAAAGAGGACGAGGAAATGTGGTGGTTAGGTTTTTTTTTCCTTGTCTGTGCTCATATAAATCTTTGGGCATGTTTTATCTTCATTCACACTGTTCTGATTTCATTGTTTAGTGGTCTATTTTTCTCGTGTTCCATCAACTGTGGTAGTGTAGCAGTACCTGTAATTACATTTTAACTCTTACATGCTAGTTGGAAGTGTAATCCAAATTAAAGAACTACAAGCAGTTTGGTTTTGCTTTGAGAACCAGCATTATTCACTAACATTTCCTTGACTTTGGTTCAGAGCTTGGGAAGAGTGAATGTGGGTAGCAGTGCCTTCAGTCCTGGGAGGCCTTTGGATCAGGCCTTTAGGCTGCTGCTACTCCTTTCCTCCCTTGCTCAAAATCTTACATTATTCTCTCTGAAAGAGTCTCCTCTGGAGACATTCAAAACCCACCTGGACGCGTTCCTGTGTGACCTGGTGTAGGTGATCCTACTCTGGCAGGGAGGTTGGACGAGATGATCTTTCGAGGTCCCTTCCAACTCCTAATAGTCTGTGGTTCTGTGAAATTTACCACTTACCCTATCCATTTTTCCCCTTAAGTACCAAGATAAAAAAAGGAAAAGTGCAAATTCTGAAGCCCCTTCTCAGATCTGAAACCTGACCCTTCTGTAATAACCATGCCTAAAAATATGTATCAGGTCAATCTGTGCTGACTTCATTCCTCCATTAGTTGTCAGACTGCCTCTAGGAGTTTGGCTTAGTCTCAGGAGTATCGTTAGGAAATCTCAAGGGACAGGCTCCCACAGACGCAATCTGATCTTTAGGAAGAATCTCTTGGTAAATCTGGCTGAGAAATGAATGTGTGGGTGGGCAAGTGTATTTGTACATAGTGAAAATGTGTGAGTACGCCATTTTATGCCTTCATTTGTCAGTTTTCCTTTTACAGCTCATCAAGGAAATCAGTTGAAATTTCTCTCCCTTAAAACTGGTAGAAGTAATTGCCATGAAACAAACAATTTTGCAGGGAGAGGAGCCAGAGAAAACATTTTAAAAAAAGAAACTATAACTGCAGATGGCTTCTATCTGAGGTTAGATAAATGATTAATTTCTGTCTCAGACTTCTTTACTACATGGGAGGAATACTGAAGAATTAGACAATTAATTTAAATATATCTACATGTATATGTATTATTGTATTCCTTGCAAGCAACTGTTGCTGACTGTATTTAAATGGAATATGGTGAAGTAATGGGATTTTAATTGTTTTCACAGATCTGAAATCCTGTCGTGGCTTCCTGCTTCAGTACTGTTTGTTGGCATTATTTATGCTGGCTCTAGGGCACTGTCTAGATTGGTAAGAAATGCACAAGTAAAATCAGTTCTTTATTACCTCTACTTTATGAGCAGAGAACATTCGCCTCATATAAGCTGCTTAATGATGTTCCAGGGCTGGGGGGAAAGAAGGGAGGAAGGGTTTAAATAATACATACATTGTTAATAGTGCTAGAGCACCAGTCCAATCCTACAAAGGCTACAGCAATATCAAAAAGCACCTCCACAACAGCCCAATGCACTCAGCATATCTCCAGGGTACTTGGTGTTTTGCAGAACAGATCCTCAGTGGTCTGAATTGTCCAAGCAGGGAAGAAGTTGAAGAAGTTACCAACTGTGACTTTGCCAAAGGAGGAATGGGGCTGTGGGATCTGTGGGAAACCCTTCCAGGAAAAGGATGAAGACCATTTCAGTGAGAGGTTTTTGATGCTTTACAGGATTTGTGCAAATAAGTAGAAAGTTGGAAAGAGATTATGGGAAGGGTTAGAGTAATCAGATTTATGATCCATTTGAATCACAATAACCTACCAAATGTTTAGAGGATATCAAATCTGCTTTCATTAAAGTTGAATGGTTTTTACTTAAATGATACAGTCTTTCTTAAAAAAAGAAAAAAAAACCAGTGACATGATTTTTTTTTAAAAACAGCAATGTTTTACTGCTGTTCTGCAGTCTGCAAGGCCAGATTCTGCATTAGGTCCCTTCTGCATTCTGTCAATGCATCTTAATCCTACTCCAGAGCCAGGTCTTTCCTGCTAGCTCCTAAAGCCCAAGAAGGATCAAAAGAGAATTTTTGACAGGATTCCACTTGTAGTGATCCCTTGAACATCCCAGTGCAGAGGTAGGGCAGAAAAGGACAGGGGATCTCTGTCCTCACAACCAAGATTGGGGACCTCATCTCAGACCCAAGTGGCCTTTGGGAAACACAGACGTGCTCAGAAGCCTCATGCCGCCAAATGAGCTCTGTGTCAGGGTGAATGCATTTAATTCCCCTTGGTTCCTTGTCAAAGCAAGTTGCATTGGCCTTCCCTGGTGTAAACTGAGCAGAGATCCCTAAAGAGAGCCCTGTCTGCAAAGAGCAATAAAGCCTTGACAGCAGCATCTTTTCTATCTGCTCACCTGGGAGGTGGAGGAGATATGACTCTCATCCTCTCTGCTATTTCTTCTGACTTCCTGGTCATCCCCTAACTTACCTTGTTTCCCTCTTCCTGCTCTGGTCATTCAGGAGTGAAATGCACTGGAGTGACAAAGAGGTTGTGAATGCTTTTGATTTATATCCCAAACCTTTCTTGAGGAGCATCTCCTATTTCTGAATGCCTTTTTCTTGTACATTAATAGGGATTTAGAAGCCTAATTCTGTGGCCATTTTAGGAGGAAAGACAAAAGGACAAGTAGTCTTAGGCCATAGTCATGTGATGCCTTGTACTGGGGCTAAATTCAATCTTACACAGAAGCTGTACTTAGAGTAACTTTGCGTACAACAATTTTATGACACAGTGAGAAGGAAAATGGACTCTCCCAAACTTATACCTGAATTGACTCACCTCAGCAGCACATTTGAGTTAAGTGGGTTTATTCCTAAAGCAGAAATTATATGCACTTTTTTGATCAAATCCAAGGAGACCCGCTTTCAAACACTCCTGTATAGTGGCAGGGCTACAATCTTAATCTCTGTGCCTCTCCCTTGAGGTGCTGGCAGTGTCCCCTGCCCAGGAGTTCAGGGCAGGAACTGGAGGAGAACTGTGATGCATTAACAAAAGTATGCAGATATGTAAAAGGAGGTTTGCACAGAGTCTATTCACCCTGCCTGCCCAACCAGTAAACCTTTCTTTTCCTAAGCATTAAGCCCACTCACAAGTTTAAGAAATACTCACATCAAAGGCAATAGACATATGGAGAATGTTAACTGGGCTAGGCAAACTGGAGCCATTGTTGGCTCCAAAACACATTTGGAAGAGCCAAAAGCGGGGAGGAAAGAAAATCCCAACAAATTGGCTTCACAAAAGGAAGAACGTAAATTCTGCTGTCGACTTTCCTTCTGCATGGTTATTTCTTGCATTTCCTGTTATTGGATCAGGCTCAGGATGCTTATGTTAGATACTTCTGGTTTTATGGTCTTAGTTGTCCAGCAACAGGGTTGAGAATTGGCTTTCAGAACTGGTGAAGTTGGGGCTGACATCTTCATGATAGTTGTCTTTGTGTGATTTTCATTCCTTGGTAATTTAGAGGTGTCAAAAGTTATCTTGGTGTAACTGTTGTGTTTATGGATCCACCCCAGCTGCCATTATGACTTAAAGTGTTTAATTAGCGATGCTTATCCAGCTTTATGGGAAAGAGAAGAAATATCCAGAAAACATAGATTTCTGAGTGCAAAGTCAAATTTAAGATATATTTGCTGCTTATATCGCCTGATACTTAAAAGGCATGGTTGTCACTGAGAAATTAAATCATTCTCTATTCATGTGCTTTAAACACTATACACAAGTAGGGAAATACTGCTTCCTAAAACAGTCTTAGTCCTCAGATTATCTTAATCAGAGCAGAGAATTGCTTCTGTTTAAACTCTCTGAGAGACCATGAATCTGATTTGGAGGAAGTATTACGAACCACTAATTCTGGTTGGGTTTGCCTGGGGCAATGGCTGTTTGATTCATTATTGTTATCTTTGGGGTTTGTTTCCTAATGATTTCATGTTGGGATGGCATCCAGATACCTCAGTGGGTATCATTTCAACATCATTTGTGTATGAACTATTACATTTCTACCCTAACTTCGGGCAGTTCTTCCTAGCAGTAACTGAAAGCAATCACTTACGATAATCTCGTCCGTAATTCCGTTGCTAGGAGTCACACTGTGTTTCTAGCACCAGTAGACAGAGATGGGAAAACTCATGAGAACTGTTTACCGTGGAGGCTGCAGATATTTGAGCAGAGAGGCAAAACTAGAGCCAGAAACCTGGAGCAAATCTCACCAAGGTAGCTGTGTACAAACAAACCGACTGAGCACTCGGAAGTGGGAGAAGCAGCAAGCAAAGTCTGCATTTAAAGATGTCTGTGCCATGTAATAGTGGTTGAAATGGGTCTAAGTCCCTTTTAGGAGATGTGGCATGGGTTTACAGCTTAAGAAACAAAACCCAAACATGTGGGACAGCTGTCCCTGAGAGAAGTGCCCTGTGTGTGACTGTTTTGGGTTGATTTTGACATTTGTTCTCTCTCAATTGCAGCCAATCCCAGTGTTCCTCACTGTGCAAAATGCAGCAGAAGTTATAACCTGTGGCTTCCAGAAGTTTGTGCAGAAAGAGGTAATTGATCTATTGATCGATGCATTCAAGGTACCACCTGTGATATAACTGCCCTATAAAAACACATAATTTCTTTTAATATGGGCATTAGTGCCATGTGCTTTTCTAGTCTCGCTGAGGTAGCTAGTGAAACCCAGAGAGAGCTTTGCTGGTGACTATAGATACTAAAGTATTTATATTGATGTTTTCTTTTCCCCCTTTAGTTGATGAAACACTGCAAATGTTTATCACCACTCTGATCTGCATTTTTAAGACTGGTGTGGTCCTGCTTGTTTTTCCCTTTGGAAAATTAATATCCCCTCTGTCTCATGTCCCATGTAATAATCTCATTGTTTGAGTGGAGGAGGAGGAGGACTGGGTCCTTTGATCTAACCAGTATAATACATCCAGTATGTTGTGTGATTATAGATAGATCACATCTCCACATGAAATGCAGGAAAAAAAGTGCATTTTTGGATTTGTTTTGAATACTCGAGAATCTGTTCCAAGACCTATCAAAGTCAAGAGAACAATTCCTGCACCCTTTAGTAACAGCCGGGTTTGTTTCTCACAAACTGCATTGGAGATCCTTCTTTTTCAGCTATTAAATGCTTTTCTAGTTGACCAGGGAACTGCTACATGAGTTAACACTGTGAAATCATTCATCACAAAGTCATTTTTACAGTGGCCTCTGGCTTGCTGTGAAAGGGATCTTCCATTTGTTACGTCTGTTATGTATATAGAAGACAAATAAATGGCCCGTGTTTGCTACTCATAACAAACTGAAGAGGTCATGAAGGTTATGCCTAAGGGACTTAGCAGTGCGTACCATGGCATGTCCTCTGTGGCATTGGTCTGTGATTCATGTCCCTGTCCAAGTGTTTCATATTTTCCTTCTAGCTTGCTTGGTTACGACTCCTCTCTTTAAAAACAGGAGCACTGTGGACAAGGATAATATAAACTCAAGTCTTGCTGGGAAGCTTCTGAGGAATGATTTTGGACCAAAGGATTGGGACACTTTCATGAGTTTAGACCAAGACTGATTTGGCTGGGTTAGTAACTAATTAATTAGGAATACTCATCATTTGAGTATGTACAATACACAGTTTTGTTATAGTTCATGTTAAGTTTGAGGATCCGGTATAAAGTTCATGTCTGGTTTTAGGTTTACCTGCTGGTAAGTAATCTGAAAATATAAACCAAGTAGAAGTAGGCTAATCTCTAATCCTGGTTCTTTTCTTGAAATTAAATTTGCTAAGCAGTGCTCAAACATAGTGTGCTGTTGAATGTTACTGGATTTTTAATGTGGTTGGTTCAGTAAGATCAGCTGTCATCACTTTCTTGTTTTTGGAAGGACAAAGCACTGTTTCACCATTTTTATTTTTCTAATTTTAATTTTTTAATTGTACTTTCTTTTTTACAGCAGATCTCTCATCTGAAAGTCTGTAGGTAAGCTTTTAAAGCTGCTCAGATTCAGATTCAGACTTGTTTTGGCTCCAGCTTCTGTATTTGCTTCAGATAATGGCACACCAAAACAATGAAGAATGTAAGGCTCATTCCTGTGGGTGGGAAGCCTAAATTGCAACATAGGAGTAATTAAATATTTTTAAAATTTATTTTCTTTTTTTTAACAATTGCTTAAATAGATACATTCTTTCCTCCTTGTAAAAAATAAAAAAAGCCAGAAGGCAAATCTTCCTGAATAACAAAGCAGTGCTTGCAATATTGTTTTTGGAAAGGGGATGGAAACCAGGTTTGAAGTTCCAGTGGGTAATCTTAAACACTAAGAGAAAGATAATTAATGTGATATAAGATAGGTAAAAATGCCTTTCCTAAGAAAGAGAAAGTGAGTGATATCCAGTTCTGCTAGAATCATTCTTATTGAGTTATACAACGTACCAACCCTGATTGGCCCTAGTTGTTTAGGCTTCAAAAGGGAGTTAGAAAGGGACAAACAGGAGTAAGACAGTTGTATATTAAAAGTTTCATTCTATCCATTCATCCCCTTGAAGAATGAATGTTTGCTGTCCTCCACATTCTGTAATCTTTTAGCTGTACTTAGAGTGGATAATGTTGGGTTGTTATTCAGTGTACTTGAAGGCAGCATCTTCCCAATTTCTCCCTGTTGTTTCCATTATCTGGCTTACTGTGGCCTTGTTTTCACCACTGGATTATTGTCAAGGATACCGGTTTTTTATCATCTTTATTCTGTCTTTTCGTGTGCCCCTAGAGAGCAGGAAAATAAGCTGCAAAAGCAAATGTTTGTTATTAGTAGTGACAGTCCACAAACATTCCACATCAGTATATTCAGTGTAGCCTGTAGAAATACTGAGTCAGCCACAGGTTAAGAGTTTATTTAGTCCAAGTTTGTTTAGACCAAGAGTTTATTTAGACCAAGTCGGTGGACTAGGGAAGGACTTGTCTATTTCTATAGAAAAGAAAATATATATTATTTTATAT